AACATTCACACACATGAAATATTATCAATAGTGTATACATATTTTTCAAAACCTTTTCTTTCCCTAGTAAATTTAGTCTCAATCAATAACTTTTTGAGTAATAAACACTCCACATTGACATTAGTAGAACACAAAAACCCATTAGCATTAGAGGCTGAAAAATTACCTGAATTTGCAAGATGACTCCACTTGCAATCTCTTTCAGATTGTTCTCTCCCAAAGTTGTTCCACTGCTCACAAGGTCTACAATTGCATCGACTATCCCCATCTATATTAGGAAGAAATGAGGAAATGATAACAGCAACAACAACCTACCCAGTGTTGTCCCATACATTAGGGAACCATGATAGGTTAAAAAAAACTTTTACATACTCAAAAGAAATTGAAAGTGCGATTGTATTTGAAGATCACCAAAAGAAATGCTGGAAAAGAACAAATGTGATAAAATTTCAAAGAGCAAACCATAACATCTAAAATAGAACGACATATTTCTTTTATGCAACAAATATAGGAAAAACAAACATGGCTCTCTGGCGAGTCTTAACATCAAGTGCAGTAATCGATTTGTGAAAAAGAGAAGTATTTCATTTATATACGTAGTACAATACAAACAGTCAATCTTAATGAGACTGGACTTAAGAAAACTCACAGTCAATCTCAATAAGACGGGACTTGAGAAAACTGAATCTGTTTAAAATAGGTAAATTTGGTCTTACTGCTGGAGTAGCCTTCAGTGCTCCATCTCGAGTTGAAAAGGTAACATGATTTAGTCCTTTTTCATTCATAAACTTGGGCCCCATCTGTGAAAGAAATGAAGGATGTTAAGGGAAAAATATCATCAAACTTAAACATAATAATTGTGACCACAATAATATATACTCTGTATGTGGGAAAAAGAAGATGAATATGTCACACAGCAGTACACCATGCATATGTGAACCCCATAGCTACTCTCAAGGGTCTCCCAGGTGTCCAATGTGGCATTTCTGCTAGATCCTTCAATGAGTTCACATTCTCGAATATTCCATACTTTGGTATCAGCAGATACGCACATGCATTTCCAGTCGCACGTCATTAATATTGGAAGAATACTAATGGTGATAGGAATGCACATAACATGACACAATTTGAATGTTTTGCTATAAAGAGCTCATTGTTACTCCCAATTTGAGATGATCGACAGTTTCCGTATTCTAGAGGATCATGAACTATAAATAGATCTTCATTCCCCTGCCAAGAAGATGTCAAACAGCCTGCAAAAATCATAATGGTTCTACTAAATAACAGAGCATGAAGTCGAATTGACTCAAAAAGAAATCCGAAACATCAGTTTGTTCTTGTACTCCATTCACCAGGACAAATACAAAAGAAAGGCAGATAAATTAGTGACCAGACTAAGCAAAGAAATCTACAAGTGTGTGATTCTGGAGACAGACCGGGTTTCATAAAAATCACAAATTATAAATCGGCCAATACAGCAGGTTACAAGAGAACTACCATTTCCCAAATATAAATTTTATTGATCCCAATCCAGCATGAAACTACACTTATTTAGGGAAAAGATAACTCATGTCATGTCATTATCGGCAAGAGTTCTAACTTGGAGCAAAGAATTGCAATAAGCAAACCTTTTAAGAAGAAAACTCTTCCAATATAGTGGCTATCTAGGAACAAGGGTCTTTAGAAGTCTTTTGCTGCANCGGCCAATACAGCAGGTTACAAGAGAACTACCATTTCCCAAATATAAATTTTATTGATCCCAATCCAGCATGAAACTACACTTATTTAGGGAAAAGATAACTCATGTCATGTCATTATCGGCAAGAGTTCTAACTTGGAGCAAAGAATTGCAATAAGCAAACCTTTTAAGAAGAAAACTCTTCCAATATAGTGGCTATCTAGGAACAAGGGTCTTTAGAAGTCTTTTGCTGCACTTTGACTTTGCTCTTCAATGCTGCAGTTTTGTCTTTGTGTATAGCATCCTTTGTTTTTAATTTATGCACACAACAATATCTTGTGCTGCACTTTGACTTTGCACTTCAAAACTTTCATCTCCTACCCACCCTACAATCAATATCTACATGTGTGTTGTACAATCTTACAATTTGTATGCCCCTTCAAGGTCATCCAGATCTTAATCTTAACTACAATGTGTTCATGAATCAACTATGGAAAAGACTGGCCAAATGTATTTCATTTTGAATTGTAAATTCTTGTTGTCTAGATTTTGAGAATTTTCAGTTCTCAAAAAAATACACACTTGTTTACTTTCCTAAGAAGTAAAAAATGTGGTTCACAATTCTTCTCTTTCTTCTAAGTAAATTTTAACCACTCACATTTAACTATTTATTATTTTCCTAAAACTCCATAAGGTCAAACCATCCAAGCTAAATCGAGACAGATAGAGTACTATATAACTATGTGCAGAAGATAAATTAAATATATAGGAATTCATGAAGGTTGCATCATGTGAAAAATACTACTAAATCTTACCTTAGATGAATTATTTCATAATTGGAACTCATGGCCTAATTGGCATTGGGTAAGCTATTTTTTGGACACACCAAGGCCAACATTAAGCAGGCACTGGACACTATCTTGGCCCAACATTTGAAGTGCTTCTAAAGGAGCACCATGATGTTCAACCAACCTGCAAGAGTAAAACAAATGTATTCTAAATACCTCATATAAAATTAGGCAAATTGACGATAAAAATGACGAATAATCAAGAAATTTATTTCTAGAACCAAATATTTCACGATTCGCTTACCGCTTGCCATAAAGCGTAGTAGCCAATTCTATTGATGTTTTATTATTGAACCCCAGCTCTAATCGAACAACACCATTTTGCACCCAAAACTTGTCCAAAACATTATTAACATTTTTAGCAGAAATTTGCCAAACAGAAAACAAAATCTCAAGCCTTTCTAAACAAAATGATCATAAAGGATGCATAGTTGGAAAAAGAGTGTTTAATGAATCAAGAGCAAATGCATGCGTATGACAATGTTTTTCCTAATAAGTATACAACATAATATAAATAGCATTCAAGAGATAACTGTTACCTCCTACTTGTTCTTTGGATGGTTGAGATACAGGTTGCATTAGTTGAATTTAGGATCATGAGGTGCAAACTCTATACGCTAAAGTAGGAACCTTATTCTTTATAAATATAGTTTGTAAGGCATCACCTAGGCAATAAGGAGCTGTCCCATGGACGTCTAGTCTACTCGCCTCGCCCAGAAAACCTTTTGGCGTTCAGGTTCTCGCTTAGGTATCGCATTACGTCGCCTTACTCCGGCCTTGACGCCAAGGCCCCTTTAAAATTTTGAAAAGCCCTTTTTTGTGCACAACCATCACCTTTTGTATTTAGTGCTTGATGTGGAGTTGTTTGTATACCCATACTTTCAAATACTTTTGTGAGTCCACAACTCAAAACATATCACAACGTGCAGGCAGTGAAATTTAAAGTCCACTTACCTCCATTGATCAAAATGAGTCTGCAAAGTACCTCCATTTCTATTAAGAGTGTATTCCTTTCACATGTGGTCATTTAGAAGTGAGACCAGAAGTCTTTAGCTTTAGGACAAATCTAGAAGAAATGTTCAATCATATCTGCATTCTCGCACCAACATCATTTGGAAGCAAGTTTGAATGTGGAATCTCTGTGCTGCAAAATAGAAGAAAACTGTTTATGAGACCATTCAGACCATGAACATAAGGAAAAATACACGTCTAATTGTGAAATAAGAAACAACCCAACGTAGAAAGTGATAGTGATATCTTCCTTCTTTCCACTCTCCTTGCAAACAAAGTGATAGAGACAATAGCATTTGCATCTATGAATGGCACACACTTATATACGTCAAAATATTGGATCTACAAAATCTAAAATTTGAAATCAGTCAACAAACTAACAATCAGACAACATATGAACGAACCTGTACAAAAATCCTAATAACATGTTGAAAAATAATTTCTCAAACTTGAAAGGCATGCTATAATCAAATGGAAGAAATTAGAAGAAGTTATACCCCTTTGGAAGGTTTAGTGTGCCTCAATTTGGAATGCTGTAATGTAACGAAAAACCAGCTGGAGATGAGAAATGCATGGAGAACCAATAAGATAACCATACTTGAGAATTTGGAGTGTTATCTTTATTACAAGTATTATATTTGGAACTTTATCTTTAATTAAGAACGCATCCTTTTATTTGTTTGAAAATAGTTCACAATTGATTAATCAAAGAAATTAAATGATTTAGTCTAATGAAGAGATATAAGTTTATTCACAATGAACTGGGAAAGAAGTTTTGGCAACATTCAATTAAGACACATATTGAAAAGTCTTAGTGACCAAATTGAAAATATAATGGTAATTATAAGACTAAAGAAATTGTAACTATTAATATGTATTAATTAAATAATACACAAATTAAAAAAATTATGAATAATATCCTTAGTGACCTGATGCTGCTGCACTGAGTCGCTGACCAAGGAGGGACGCTCGGAAGTTGCTACTCTAGGAAGGAGAGATGCTATGAACCTGCGACTTCGGAGAGTGGGAGTAGAGTCAAAACTGGGAAGCTCAACCGATGGTTGATTGGAAGAGAGGATAAGGGAAGAAGACGGAAGAGGGGAAGGAAATACGATCGATTAAGGTAATGGATAAACTGACTTAAGGCAACGGATCAAATCATTAATCCATTCAATTATTAAGGCTCAACAGCGAAAGAAAGTTGCACAGATCTGTATGGCGATAATTGCACTCGCCAAACGCCATAAGACGCAGCGAGAATGGCGAACGCCTTTCATCGCCTCAAGGACATCGCCATGCACAGCCTAATCCAGGCGTTACAAGGCGAGTATGGCGCTCGCCATTCATAACTATGTGCCACACATGATTTTCATTTCTTAAAGCGTGTTGGGGGGCTCTTGTAGTTTAATTAATAAAAAATAAAATTTCATATTGTCTCTCTAGATTTAAAACAACATAATCTTTAATTTTTGGAAAAGGATCAAGTTCTATCTCAAATGAAATTTGTCCATCAGAATTGTTCGAAAAAAAACTTCTCTTTAGTTTGACCTTAAAAACAGAATTTGAAGTCAATGACCTCGCAGTCTTTAATCCTCTCATATTTATAGTGTTAAGCTCAATAGCCAAAAAATCTTTAATCATTGCATTTTCTAAAAGTGCAGCTTTATCAAAAGCAAATAAAGTGAAACTGTGTCCCTTTTTATCATTAGGTAAAGGGTTTAAATTTGCATCAAATCATGTTGCTTCTTTAATTCTTGTTGAAATAATTTTGAGTTCAATAGAGGGAACAAAATTTTGTGTTACAGCAGATTCTTCAAAGATGCCAAACTTAGTCCTTTTGAAATAAAAATCATTTGAAAATGTCTTAACAATAAACAGGTGTTCATGGTCAGTTTGCAGCCTTGATTTCCTCCAAACCAAAGATTTATTAGTGGACTCATCATTTAGAAACATAAAAATACCATTCATACAATCCTTAAGACCAAACATTTCCTTTCCAAAAATGAAGCTCTTTACACTATGTTTGGTTCAAGGAATTTGAAAGGGAAAAGAAAAGAAAATGAATTGGAAAACAGTTTTTCATTTTTGGTTAGAGAGGAAAAGTGGAAGA